CTAGTTCATTGTACAGTTTTGTGAGCTTTGATGAACACACCCACATCATCCCCATCATAATTAAGCTATAAAACACTGAGTCAGCTCCACTAGCACCAAGTTCATCCATAACCTTTTTATCAGCTCCAACTCCTTCTCAGGCAATAGCTGATCCAACTTTCTTTTTGATTGGTAAAATGTATGAATATTTCATAAATGGTTTATCCATTCAATTGTAGATATACAACTGGGTTGTTCTCAGTTTTGAATTACTATGAATGCTGCTACAAATGTTAATGTATCGTCCTTTAGTGGACATAGGTTTTCTTATATTTCCTTATGATCTATGTTTGAATTAAATGCTATTATACATCTAATTCCATGAGAAACTGACAACGTTTATTTTGAACCAAGTCCAACTTCTTGGGTTTGCCTATCCCCAAACTTTGAAAACACTGTTTTCTTCTAGAAACTCAGGTTGAGTTTATTTTGGCATAAAGTATGAATAAGGATGAAGGTTCTTCCCCTTTTGCCCCTGAATATACAGATGTTCTAGCAATTTCCACAAAAAAAATACCTCGGCATCTCCTTTAAAAATTGTGAGCTTTTTTTTTTAGTAAAAGTAACAGAACTATTAGTGTGTGTCTGAGCTCTACTTCCTTCCACTGTCACAGCTGCTCACCATCACCAAGAAGACTGCACTGTCTTGCTTACGTAGTGTTGACATAAGGCTTATAATCAGGAAATGGAATCTCTTGACTTTTATTTTTCTTTATAAGATTTATTTTGGTAATTCCAGGCACACTCCATCCATATTTAAGAATCAGCTTGTTATTTTTTTATGAACAAGTCTTCTGGGACTCCAATTAAAAGGTCACTGAATGTTTAGCTCAACTGGAGAGCCGATATCTTAATAGTGTAAGTTTTCTACTAGGAACATGGTATTTTTTCTCACTTTTTCTTCTCTAATTTTTCTCTACAATCTTTTTGGGCTTGTAAAACTAAACAAACATTGCAAAGATATATGTACAGTTCCTGTACATATTTTTAAAGTATATCATTGCATCTTTAAAAAGTTTTTATGAATATATAGAGACAGATTTTATCTATTTCATAGGTACAATTCTAAAAAGATAATTAAATTTCCTTTCCTTCTTGAAGGAATCCTCCCTTCCTTTGGTTTAAGTTCTTTTTTTTTTTAATTTTACAAAACACATAATTCCAATCTGCTTCACAATCACAGGCTTAATGCACCACTAACTGTAATATTTAACAAGTAGAAAGCTGACAATTTCACAGGAATATAAGAGCAGCTAAATACAACAATCAAATCAGAAAATCTTCTAGACATCCTTAGAAGTTTGCAACTTTGAAGGTAATTTCATCCATTATTTTTGTCAGTTTTACATTTTATTTTTTATTTCTCAAGATATTATTGGTGATAGTGAAGGAAGCACTGAAGGAGAGGTTACAATGTGGGAGGGGATTTTCCAATTATAAGTATTTCCAATAAGAATATAATTTCCTCCCACATTAAGAAAAAAATATCCCCCAAGTTGCAAAGCTGTCTATACACACATATCAAGGAGACTGTTACCAGTGGACAAGTCTTCCTGGTATCCATTCTGAAACTACCTATCAAGATAACTAGGTGTTTAAAATTGAAAGCAGATCTTTTGCAAATTATCCATTGTACTATGCACAGTTGCCATTGGCAAAGTATCTGATTTCTCATTTTAACAGGCACTATGGCAATAGTGCCAGATAGTGCTTTCAGCAGAATTTCTTTACTTTAGAGTGAATCAGCAATCGCATTTGTGCAATTACAGGATGCTTGTAGAAGGCCTAAAGAGGAAGAGCACAGAGAAACATTTTATCAGTGGAGTTTTACCTTGATAGACAAAATTCTCTTGAAAACACCTTTGGGAAATCTAACTACTTCACTGATCTTTTTTTTGCTTTCCACATAAAAATATTGGTAATAAAGCATCTAAATTTTTGGAATCATTAAATATCATATTATTATTTCTCAACAAATCCCCTGGTGAGTATTGCATAGGTTTTCCTATAGTTTTACAAGTAAATTGCCCAAGATTCCTGGAAAAATTGGATTATACAGTAAAATTTTAACTTACATAACAGTTCTAATTGTGATCTCATTTTTGTCTCCTATCAATCATATCAGATAAAGAAACAGTAGCTATTATTATATAATCAGCCATTTGGGGTGTGCACTAGTGAATTCACGATGTGTCTCTCTTTTCTACCGTTTCCTTTGCCTTTCAAATAAGTAAAATAATTTTAAGATGGCCATGAGTAAATGGAAATCTGTTTAATTTCCATTTAAACATGTTTAAACAAGTGAGTTTTTAGTTTCAATTTGTGACATGCCAGCATCCCATATCAGAGTGATGGTCCAAGTTTTGGGGTCCTCTGCTTCTGAGCCATCCTTCTGCTAATGCATGGTGAGATGCAGTGAGATGCTCAAATTCTTGGGTCTGTGACACACAGGACACCAGGATGCAGCTTCTGGGATCTGGCTTCATCCTGGTGCAGCCCTGGGCTGTTGTGGGTATTTGAGGAATAAGAAGAAGATGGAAGAAATCTTTTTTTTCTCACTAACTTTCATGAAAGACTTCCTCATTACATCAGTTTGTTATATGAATCTTTTCATGGCAGAGAAGAAATTATTACCAAAAGCTATTAAGGGAGCAGCACAGGGCTATTTTGTTTATTCATTACGTTTACAGTGAGGGCAATTTTCTGTCTGGTATCAGTGTATCTAATATAAAATTCACCAACTCTACAAATAGCAGCTCTTCTGGTAAGAAGTACATTGACACTGTGACTGAAATCACAGTTTTGGTTTGAAGCTGTAAACATACATTAGATTGATTTGCACTGAGACACCTGTCAACTTGTCATGCTAGGTATCTTTTGTTGTTGTTGTTTTGTTTCCTTGTTTGTCTTTAAACCAGCAGCTATTATTAAGGAGTATCTGGGATGTGCCTCTGGCATTTCAGCTATAATCTTTCCAATCCTAAGAAATGCAGAAAATAGCTACTAATACCAATGAGAAAGCAGGGATTGAGAATTCACCTGACTTGCCCAAGGCCACATGTCCAATGCTAAGTGAAAATGTCACCAGATGTACCCAAGTCCATCTGCCTTCTTATTTGTTTATTCCTCCTTCCTCTGACTACTTCCCTTCCAAATCCAAGAGTAGGTGAAAGTGACTATTTCAATCAAACACCTTATATGCCATTTTAAAAGTAAGTATTTTTCTATTCCTGGCTAGTGCTCTGTATGCAGTAAGGTTATAAAAATAGAATGTTAATGATTGTAGCAAAATTCATCAGCCTAGCCTGTGTAGTAAATCAAACCGATGCTGGCTCTGTAACCTGTCTCTTTAGTGTCCAATTCTAAAATGTTTTCAATTAATCCTACATATCATGGGAATAATCCAAACAGCAAGATAATCCTGTGTTCTCTGTATTAATTGGACAACTCTCTCAGCCACCCTCCAAAGCTCAAAACTGTCCACAGAAAGGTAAAACTGTCCATCACTTTCATCTAGGCTGGGACTTTTTCCTGTCTCCAAGAAACAAGCTTGCCTGCTTTGCACCACTGGAGAATTAAGATGGGGAGAATGTTATGACTCTCTTCTCCCCAAATCTCTCCTAAACTGCACTCTACATTTCTGCAGAAGTGCAGGCTTACTCTTGCATCTCTCACTATTCTGAGGATCTCTGTTTTCTTATGATTTTGCATTGCCTCAGATATTCAATCTCTGTGGAAAATAAAGCCTTTTATTTTTTTCTGCTACAAGAACATATCCATTCTTTATGATGATAACTGCTTGTATGCATTCATTCTCCTAAACAATTCAAAAGGGCTTCAGTTAAACTTAAGCTCAGTCACCACCATGGCCGTCTCCTCTCCCACCCCCCACCCCATCCTGTCACCCCAGTTTTTCAACTGTGCACAGTATGAGTTTATTCTTGCACCACAACTTATCCTTAGATCTTTCATCATGTCTTTTGCTTCCAGGTACATCAACCCAGCAAGTCTTGAATGTTACACTTCTCATTTGTGTTCATATTGTCCTGTGATTACTACAGCAGCTTTACTTGGATGTCACAACAGTATTTTTATTAGTCAAGAATTTGACTTCTTAAAAAACGCAAGCCCACATAAGTGAACAAACCCATCATTTCCACTAGCTATTCATAATCTTTCATCTCTCTGGCATATACTTTCACAACTTTCCCATAAAGTAAAAAATAGAGAATAAATATGCAAGTAGTCATACATACGATATGCCTGTAGAAATCTCACAGTAAAAATAACTTAATATGCAATAACGTTTCATCCTTCACAAAATATTTTGGGATCAAAGCAAATAATATTAATCATATATGCTAATTATCAAAGCATAAATTTAATCAGAGGAAAACAGCAACTCTTTTTTTAGATCTGTAGAAACATTTTAATCATGCAAAAATTATTATAGTGTAGTGTAGGACAATACTAAAATGTTACCTAAGATTAAGTAGATTTTATTATTTTACAGAATATATACTTAGAAATGATTACTAAAAATAATTACTCTAAAGGAATTCTTAAAGGCATTATTTAGAAACAATATTTTAAAATATAGCAGTAAGCAAGAGGAACTATTGCCCTTTACACATTTTTGGCATAACACTGCCATACAGTTACAGAATTACAAAATAAGTATTTTATAGTACCATACAGATCCAGAAACTGGTTACAACTTCTACCACATACACATGGTATTGGTACTAACAAGCATGCACAGCATCCTGTGACTCATCCTGCAGCTGAATACAGAGCACAGACAAGGCCCAGTGGCCAGAGCATCGAGGCCCACGTGGTAGGGAAAACACACTTCTATCAGGATCATACACATTTTCCTAAAATATTCAAACTACACAAAAGTTTCTAAATTTAAATAGAACTGGGACCCAGTCTTTCATCTATCTTTTTAGATAATACTAAAAAGGAACAAAATTTGAAGTTAGGATACAACAGTCAAAGCCCTTTCTTTCAAAGGAAAAACAGATACTCATCGAAGGATCAAACACCAGGCCTTTATTTGTTCATACAACAAAGACATTGTCCACTCTGGCAGGTTTGGGAGACAGCTGCTTCCCTCCCAAACCACCTGTCACTGCATCCTTCTCTAAACTGCAGCTAATCCCTCAACTTAACTTGTTGTTAGTAAAGACCACCCACTGTTGGTTTACACGGAGGAATTAAACTTGCTATCTACTCACTTGATTATACATATCAGTCCACTGGAAGGTTTTTAATGGAGTAGACAGAATTCAATGCTCAGCTGGAAATACTAATGGTCTTGTTTCCAGAGTCCTGATCCTGGCACAGGTTTGTAGTGTAGAACTAAACCATAATACATCCCCAACAGGCAGCTTTTCTGGATCATTTCTCACTTCCTTCCAATGATTCTGACACCTGCACAAACTTAGCATTAATTATGACTTTATTTCTATAGCTTGTTACCATTCCTAATTTTTATTTATATTTTCTTCACAAAAAACTAAATATTTTCACTTTGAAGCCATGCTCATTTAACCAATGAGTACAGAACTTTTTGGAGCAACATATACTACATAACCAATCAAAGACTTATTTATAATTTTAAGATAAAAGCAAATATTTTCCATATTTGCTGATTCAGAAAAAATTCTTTAGCATAAACTAATTTTTCTTCTTCACATAATTTTGCAAAAATATTTTATATACATCAATTAAAGAAACCAAATAATTTTGGTTAGAGAATTGGGATGTGGGGAGAGTGGTATTTCAATGATTCCCTAGGCAGTTACAAAAACATACCTATGACTGACATAGTACACTTTTCAGAACTATAAAAATGATATAGCAAATAAATTACAATAGATATTCTGTAAAAATTGATGTTCATTAAAATTTGATATGGAGTCCAAGGTGGCCCACATTCTCCAGATGACACCCTCAGTATCTGGGGGGGCTCAGAAGACCCAGCCATGCCAGTGGTCAGCCCAGGGCTGGCTCTGCCTCCCCTGGATGCTCAAAGGGCTCAAAATGCTTAGTTTCTCCCACTTTCCACAATCTATTTCAGTCTGACATTTAGGCCATTATGCAAAGCACAGTATAATATCTGTCACATGAAAACTTTAATTCAAGAAAGCAAACATGTTAACAATTTTCTGCAAATAACCGAAACAAAAGAATGAAAACAAAGCAAATGATAAATGACCCTACTTGATGTAGGAAATAGCAAGAACAGTGCTTTTTCAAAGTTTCTGAAGATTATGACATAAAAGTGTTTAACTTCAGATTCCTTCAAACATTCATGGGAATTAAACTTTTAATAATTTCTCTAACATAGTTTCATTTTTTACATTCACCTAAACCTAAGCACAAGAAGCAACCACAGATAGGTATTATTTTTAGTAACTAAGGAATATTTAAAATTAAAATTACAAGCTATAGAAAAACAAAGAAAAATCACAAACTCAATAAATAACATAGGTTAATCTTTCTTACTCTAATCCTTTTTGGTCAACTATAACACACTGTTGAATAATGTGGCTGAGTACATTTTATGAACCGATGCTAACACCTCAAATGGAAATTTCTTCAAAATGATAAAGCACCAAAATAAAAGTCATTGAAAAAACTGGTTATCTGTGACAAGATTTCACAATGGAGTAAAAAGTGTAACTTGTGAATAAAAACTATTTCCTTTCAGTAAGGCACATCTGTAAATCCCCAAGCATTCAATCTACACTTTAATTTCACAAATACGGGTTTTTTAAAAATGCAGTTTGTGAACACAGTGTGCTGAGTGGGTTGAACAGGCGGCAACCAGTCGGCACACACAGTCCCCCTAGCATTATCCACACCAGCCTGTTCCTGAAGTCCGCAGTACAGAACACAGACTTGAAAGAAGTCAGTGGTAACGCACTCCTCATTTTTTATATCTTCATTGACCCTGGCCACCTTGCTCTACAACTGCACCTACATTTGAAATGACTGTAGCACATCTAATTTCAGTCCACTTTCTATTTGACATTCTCAAGTGAGAAAGGGACTTCTATGAGTGGCGTAAAATGAAAATCTTAAAAAAAAAAAACATTGTGATAAGATACCCTCCCCTTAAACTCAGACATCAAAGATGTGTAGATGCAATTACTGTTAATCAAGGTCAAGAATATTTTCTCAGCATAGACAATAATAGGAGACTCAATTACAGTTTTAAATTGCTTGATTCAGTGACCCAATGCAGCTCAACCACAACTCAAAAACAATGTGGTAAATGACACTGAAACAATAACTAAATATTCTATTAGTTAAACAAATTTTGACCATTTGATATGGATATTTACCAGAATAATTTTATAAAGATTAACTCAGATGTAACACTATGCTACTATTTTCCCTTTTTCCTAAGTCACACTTTCATTTAGATTAAAACATGAAAGTTCCAAAAGCTGAATGGATAACTTCAAATGAAAAAAATATGAACTATAATGACTATAGCAGGGGCGACAGCATTTTCATATGTTTATATTTTTAATGCTGAGCAAAAACTCTTAGAACTTCTCTGCTAACTCCTGAGTTGTAGGTTTCGGTTTCTCATAGAAGATGGGAAAAAAACAGTCTCAAAACCTAAAATCAAAATCAAACTATCTAATGTAATTTTTGAATTGACAACTGGATTTAGTGAGAACAAACATACTTTTACTTCTATCACTACCTTTTTTTGTTGCTTCTTAGGAGATTGAGCATGGAAATATATACTGGCACAATACTGTTAATACTATAAACTTTCTTCTCTATTTACAGAAATATAGCTTAAAAGTAAATATCACTTTACAATATTTCAAAATATTTTCACATATTTATCTCCCTTGATGTATGAAATCACAAAATATTAGAAACATACTAATCAAGCAATATACTCTATCTGCCATGAAATGCAAGTTAGTATTTTATCAACAGTCAATATTTAGTATCATCGCAGTCTGTGTTACAGTAATAAAGACTACATATTTGCAAAAATTTAATAATACTCCTAGGTATTTAGCCATGCATCTCTGAATTTTTTTTTATAACAGCTTCTCAGTAAATTGCTTCAAGCATATTTTAGTTTTTAAACATACAAAACACAGGAGTCAGGCCCAGAAGGCTGTTTCATTCTAAGACATACGTAAATATCTATTTATAGATCTTATTTAAAAAACTATTAAGTGTAAAAAATATTCATAATAAAAAATTTTAGACACTCAATTTTATTTGTAAAAGAAATGCATTCCCTTACTTTTCTCCAGTGAATAACTTTCTCATGAATTATATACATGTTAAATGTAGGGAACAAAGTAACACATGAATACTCATTAAAAATTAACTATGGTAGAAAAGACTAGCGCGTTAGATGGAAGCCAGGCAGTTTTTCCCTTGAAACTAAATATTCTCATAGTAAATATAACAAGTAATTAAAATCTCTAAGTAAGAGTAATATTGTAAAAGTTAAATTGCTGGTGAAATGGTTTTATTTTTAGGAGTTTTTATATACTGCCACTTCTAAGTAGTTCAGATTACATTAATTTATTTTACTATCTGGTAACAATATTTTAATATCTCTTCACAAATTTTTAATATTATGGATTTAGAAAGCATATATTTCATGTATGCAGAATTGGTAATAATATACTTTGAATTAAGTTAGCTCTATTGCCACCATTCAGTTTAATTTGACAGCCTTTTCTCCTAAGCCTTGTAAAAAATATTTATGGAGCTCTATGGAGACACTGCTACAACAACCACCATGAAGGAGAATATTATTTCTTATACATAAAAAAGAAACTGAATTGCAAAAGCAGATTGATTCTCAAACCCTGAAACTTTGGAAAGCAAGAGCAAGCAAAAAGTGTATCCAGTATGAGAACTAAAAATGCAAAACTGTTCTATGTGATATCTATTATGTTGTACAAATATGAGTGCTGCTAAGATTCACAGAAAAAGTATAGATAGGAACTGGAATGTTTTATGTAAACTTTAAAGCAATAAAATTATTTTTCTAAAGGCATACCATTGGTATGATTATTTTTAAGAAATCCACTGCTTCAAACGTGGATCAATGGAGGTAAGGAAGGCAACATGGTCGAGTATGGAACAGGACACAGGAAGCATTTTCTGTGGAAGAACAATGACGAGAACTTTTCCTGAGAGACTATGAGACACAGAAAGTAAACTTTTGTAACCAAAATAAAGTGAAAATGCTTTATCTATTCACTGTTTGAACTATATTTATATGTATTCTTTACAATTTTCATTATAGTAACTTGTTTCCAATTTGCCATAACACTATAGGAGATAAAATTATTTGTCCTTAACCAATGCTTTATAACATGTTAAGGCCTCGATAGAGCTGATTTTATGGGACTTCAACTCTGTCCCCAAATTTCAAAAAGTTTAGAAATACATCAAATTATATATGTGTGTGTGTGTGTGTGTGTGTGTGTGTGTGCATACATGCATGTATAAAAGAGATATAATTGTGGGTTAAATATAATTAATTTCATAATTCACAAAACACCAGAATATTCATGGTTAAAGGAATTATTGTCTCCCTGACAGTGTAAGAAGCATGCCTCTTAAAAGTGAATTTCTTTTCTTGGTTTTTCATTTTTTAGTTATTAGCACTCAAAAATCAACCACAAATTTGTAGTGTTGAGCCACAAAAAGCAAAGTTTCTTCCCTGGATTTTTGCATCAGAATTTGTTTCTAAGCACTAAGAAAAGAACATTACCGCTATTTTAAACAAAGCAAGATTTTGAAAGCATACAGTTAACAGACCTCTCTGTTCCACTTAGATTTCACGACAGGAGAGGATCCTAATGGACACTGGAAATGCACGTGATGGCTGGCGGAGATGGCGGCTCAGGCATGCGCATGAAGAGAAGGAAAAAGGAAAGGACAGTAACACTGTCAGATGAGCCAGGAGGTCAGAGCTTCCCAAGAGCGTCCACCTCATCATCAGAACCCAAAAATAAACATGTTAAGGTGTTATCACTGAAGAACCCCAACTACTTTCCAGAAGCATCTGTGAAAACCAAACTTTCTTGGAGCTTAAGAGAATTAATCAGTTAATCGGGTATGACAACACATGAAACTTGTCTCTTGGCGCTCTTTATGGCATCTGTTATTTCTTGAAAGAACATTTGATCTATCACATATCACATGATTATTTAGATACCCTGAAACTAATTTAAAAGTAATTATATACAGATTTTAAAAACTCACATCCTAATAGCATTACAGAATATATTCATTTATTGGATCTTGTGTTAAAACTTAATATCCAATTCAGTATCGTTCAAAATTTTTAAGAAACCAAGCAACACAATGCTTCCAACAAAAATCACAAACAGATGGTTAAAATCTGAAATGTGACCTCATCTGTGTTCTATGGGGAAAATTCCATACTACACATATTTTTTCGTCCCTTACCTACACTGATTCGTAGGCTTTCTGATAGTTCATTGTGTTGGTGCGTCATCATGACAACTTGTATTTCCAGGATTTTCAAGGTCTTTGTTATGATTTTCTCCTTCTTCTTTCTCAGGAGCTGCACTCTCCCTCTGGTCTGTGGGATCAGTAACTGTGTTTTCGGGCTGTGAGTTTGAGTTTTCGCCCTGACTGTCCTTATCTGTGTTTCTTGGCTTGGTAACTTCACTGCTGGTCTCTGAGCTGGGCTTACCTGCTTCTTCCTCAGGCTCCTGAGATGTCACCTTCTTTTCATCCGCTGTTTTGCTACTCACACAAGCAGACGAGGAAGAGCTTTTGGAGTCCTTAGATTTTTTGTGTGCGGAAGTCTGACTGTTATGACTGGAGGCAGGAGGGGCAGGCATCTTCTGTCCTTTGCTTCCTTCTGAGGGTTCCTTCCTAGGTGGTCCCCAGATAAAATTCTCTGAAGGTGTATAATGTTTCTGGGCAAACCTCAGGAGCTTCCTCCTTTCTCTCCTGTCTCTAATTGTGTACACAAAATACTCCAGAGCACTCTGCTTAATATTGGGAATAGTATTTTCCACAAGAGCCTCGTGAAGAATAAATTTTACAAGAGGAGACTTAAAACTTTCATACCCAAGCTCACCAAGGCTTTTAAGAATACGAGTGATTCTTAAATAGTTGTGCTGAGACCTGTAAAAAAAAAAAAAAAAGATTGAATAAAATGAGGGAGAATATCAAGCAGAGGAAAGCAGGAGAATGAAAACAGTTGAAGAAACTTTATTTTATGGAACTATTAGTCATAAATATGCCTTGTAAAAATGTTTTTTTTTTAATCTTACTAGGTACCTTTACAATGAATGAATTAGAAGTATGTAGAACTACAAAGCTTTTTAGTAGCCAAAGATGTAAAATAGGAGCCATGTCCTACAACTTGCTGGACTTTCCTTGGAATTGAATGACATGATACATACTTAGGACATGCAGACCTTAGTAAATAGTAAGGACTTTAAAACTAATATCAATATCCTTATTGTTAAGAGCTTAGTACATATTTTTACCTATCTCTGTTTAATGTGACTTTTCTTTAATCCCAAGATATTCTTTCCTCTTTATTCCCCACTAAATAATTTTAAACCTTATATCTAATGGCCTTGATTCCAAAGATATTTTCCATGAGATTACACTAATATTGTCTCTTTCTACCTCAAAACAGGCATCACAGAATTTGTGCTTTCCAAATGTGTTTTTGTCATAATTCATAAACTATCTCACCAATCTCACTCATTCAGCTCAATATATGCCTTACTGCACACGTGTGGCCAAATCTTAAAAGAACCTCAACCACATTTATAAATCTGGTACGTCATCAGCAGACCAGGTATTTATTTACCAATATTGTAATGCAACCACAACCATTGCTTAACTCTAAAGCTTCCTAAAACCCATTTCAAAAATCAGGCATTAAAATTTGTGTAAGCATTATATTTACCTGCTCTAAGTTTCTAAAAATGCCTTTGCATTTTTATTCAGAAGTAAATAGGAAATTACTTGGGAAGGCTGGAGGATGATGTTGGTAAACACAGAAATGGAAGGAAATAGTTTCATGGTCTTACAGCTTAAAATGCAAGGATATTCGGACAAAACAAAAACCATAATGATTACAACTAACAAAATACTGGAAAGACAAACCTGACTGTTGCTATTATCTCCGCCCTTCTGGATATTTATCAAAAGAGTGTTATCTTCATATTCAGCCCTGAGAACCCCAAAGGACAATCACACAGATAATATTTCTGCTCTGAGTTGCTTTTTTTTTTTCATAGTTAGGAAACAAAGAGTCTTGTGAGACAATGTAAATGTGGGCCACGTTAAGAAAATCGGCCACTAACAGTAGGGATGATTGGGTTGTTATGCTCATATGGTGTGTATATTTTAAAACGTTAACGACAAAACTGCTTAATGAGTCTATGAGAGACATATGGAAAGGTAGATGAGCATTTTTTAATAAAGGAGCTATGTAACAAAACAGATTCTCTATTTGCAATCAGCTTCACATAAGCAATAAAAGATAAAAAATCAAGTTAAAATCTCCACATACATGCATCCATTTCTATATATTATTCAGTTGCATAAAAGGACAAAAACTTGGAATGGAGAGTATGGTGAACAGAATCCCAGAACCAAACTACAAGAAGCAATTGGGTGTTTCAATATGTCACAACGAGAAACAAAATGTAAGACAGAAGAGTGGCTAAAACCCTTCTATTGTGAATAGCAGATACAATGGAGATGCTGGTATTCCAGATTCTAGCAGAAGTAAGTACGGTAAATAATTTTCAAACCCAGGAAAAGTAGGTTGGTAAAAGGACCATGAGCTATGAGTCAAAAGGGATTTTGGGATGTAAAACAACTCAGTTCAGCTCAGTGATCCAAGCTGCTTACAAGTAAAACTGGAAATGCAGCTTGGTGGTTGCTCTACATATTTGAATTCTAGCGTCTGAAAATATTTCAGCACTTCTTGAATGGTTACGTATCCACTCAATGTTCTTTCACTTCACTTTGACTCAGTATCTTCCTTCTGTTTACTACAAATATATTGGGTTTCCTGCCTACTCTAAAAACCTTAAGATGCTAGACAGATCAACATAGAGCTAAGTTATCACATCTAAGATTAGATAAGTCTAGAACTTAATCAAAGAAGAAGATAGATGTTTTGATTCCACCCTCCACAATTTATTAAAATCTAGTCAAGTTTTCTTTTTTTTTTGGGGGGGGGGATGATTGCTCCAGAGAGGAAACGTATTTTCCAGAAGACTCCGAGACAGTTCATTCACAGCTGGAAAAGCAACAGAGAAACAATGGTGGCAGAAATAAAAGCAGCTGGACAGGAGAGAGGGATGAGAATGACAGTTATCTCTGGCTCCCACTCCTCTGATTGATTAATTAAAACCTGCAGAAACTCTGTTTCCAGGTGTAAATCAGAGGATTTCATCATAAAATTCCAAGGATGATTAAAACTGAAGGACAAAATTTACTAAGCAAGACTACTATTCCAATGCTAAACAAGTTGGGGAGGAAGGAGCTATCAAATAACAGCAGTGAGCCTGTGAGACAAGGAAAGATCAGATTTTCTCCAAAGATTTACTTGTCACATGAAGGCAGCAGATAGCCCTATTTAACAGCGTGATACAAGTGCTCAGAAACTTTGTTCAAAGACAGCTACTTGAATGCTTAGGTACTCTATGAATCAAAGCTAACTTCATTTAGGAGTGAATGAATCTTCTAGTCAGGATTATAAAGTGGTGTGCCCGTATCTTCGGTGTTTTGGTACAGTTTCCATCTCAATAATGATTTTATAACTAATAAAGAAAAAGGAAGGTTTTTATAACTAATACAGAAAATGGAAGGCTTAACATTTTCCTAGTTATTTTAACAAAGCAAAATGAGTGTTATAGAGACACAAAAAATTCAACAAATTGATATAATGAACAGATTTTTTTTTGGCCTAAGAGCAATTACTTTACTATTTTTTTTTCTTAGAACGTGTCCAATTGAATCCATTATAATATGCTAAAAAGTGCTTTAAAGCTCTTAGTATTATAGGCCAGCAGTCATAAATCACCATATAACATTTTTAACAATTAGGTTGCACATGAATAAGAATTTATTAATAAAATTTATACATTTTCAAGCACAAGAATACAGAAAAACAGACAATTTTCCTTCAGATTATTATATTTTCCTTCTTGGGTTAAAAAAAAGTACAGGTATATCTCATTTTTATTACATGACTTTTAATCTAATTAATAATTTGAATCTAGAAGACACACAATGTTGGAAGATGCTAGGAATAGATGTCGCCCACCAAAGCATGCTGCACTCTGGTGGGGACACAAGAAGCTAAATCTAAGCAATATGCATAAATGCCAAGAGGACGCATGGCATAAAAGGGGAGAGAAGTCACATTTGGCTGTGAGCTATGGAAAGGTTTCAAGGGAACAACAGCTTTCAAATTAAAATAGCTGTATTTCTACATGGAATTTCATTCTTTCATTTTTTTTTCCCCAAGAAACAGAACTGAGAATAACATGCAATGGTTTCTGAATCCAAACTCTTGGCTCCATTCAAAGTTTTTCCTGTGTTCCTGTGTTCACTCCAGCCATGGGAAAATACTGTGCTGACCCCAAATTTTTCACAGAGGCCTTACTTACTCATTGAGATGCTGAAATCTTTCCTGCCAGTTAACTGCCCGAGCAACGTTTCCAGTCTTATCAATCAGTTTTATTCCAAAAAATTCTAGCATCATTTTATAAGCCAGAAGGAATCTTCTAATTGCTTCTTTTGTTTTTTTGAATTCCTAATATGAAAACAGAAAAGCATCAGCTGAAATGATTCAGCAGCTACCACAACAGCAACATAAAATCATCTCGTGTTAAATGAAACAAGCTGGCATTACCTCAATTTCATATGTAGTTAGTTCTTTTGCATAGAAGTTCAAACCTTGTTCTCTCAGGGGAAAAAGCCTATTTTAAAAAATAAATAATTTTTTTCTATTAACATTGTCTGGAAAATATACATGATTACAAAAGACATGGTTCAATACAGATAATATGTAACTGACCATTGAATGTAAGTATGGTTGTGCTCCAGTTTTTCATAATCTCCTTTCCATTTATTTAGAACTTCTTCAATGTAAACACCTAAGTATTAAACATTTAGAAAGTGAACCAGACATTTAAAACACTGTGAAGGCATATTATGGTTTGATTTGAGTATTACATTAAAATTCTTTAACATTTAATAACAGCACTAAATAATAATGCTTTTAAAAGATTAATTTCCCATATATTCAGTTGTGTAGTAAGCCTAATTAAATAAAAAATTCACGGCACCGAGCATCACAAATCACAGGAAAGTGTATGGAGCAATGTCCTTTAAGGCAGAGCTTGAGAAATCATGGCCTGCCAGGCATTTTGTCAGGAAAGATACACTGGAACAGAAGTGTGCAATTCATTTATTCATTATCTATGGATGCTTTTTTATACAACATAAGAGTTAAGTTCTGTATTGACCTGCAATATAGAACTGTCCCACAAATTCTTAAGTATTTACTATCAGCACTTGCACAGAAAATGTTTATCAATCTCAGTCTTGGAGGATTATACAGTTCTTTAAGTATCAGAAAGGATCAAAATGAGATGCATGCCAGAGAAAAAGAAAGGAAAAAATTTGTGAGGGAAAAAAGGAACAAGAAGTGTAAGGCTAACGGAAAGGAAAAAAATGAAAGAGCGCTCTGGAGTGCATACTAAATGATTTGACAAAACAAATCACATACAGAGTATACATTATGCTTATAGCTTATTTCTCATAAAACTCTTCCAAAAAAACGTTACTATCTTCATTTCACTCTAGAGAAACTGGGTGATTTGTTCAAAGTCAAACACCAGTAAAAAGTCAATACAAGAGAACACTCATCTTTCTGGTTCTATAGAATAAGTCCCTTTCACCAGATGTCTTTGTTCTTCTACAAGGAAACCTAGAGCAAAATGCTCAGATTCACCAGTCTATCAAGGATCTTATAATTAATGAGTGGCTATTTAGTCAACTTTATAGAACAAAACCCACAATATTTCCCCAAAATAATCCATCTCACTCTTGGTTTCCTTCAAGAGGCTATTTCAGAATTGTTTCTAAGCATTAACTCCCATGCAGAGCATGTCTCTGCACATAGGACAGGCCTTCCTCTCCTGCCTTTTGCATCCAGCCTTTCCATCACCTTCCTCAAATTCACCAAAGAATGGGAGGTTTTCCCACTGCAAAAGCCATGCAAACCAGGACCCTCATTCTCTGACTCGTGTTACTTTGGGTTTGGCTGTTTCCACTGACAGCAAAGAGCAGGAAACAGAGATATCTGGTAATTTCGCACAAATAAGGATTTGAAGGAAAGAAGCTGGTGTCGCTGGTTTGACTTGAAGAGGCCCACCATAACCACATAATGGTACTTCAACTGAAATATACAACTTTGTGGTGAAATGACCACAGCAACTGTGTCCTCCTCCTATAGCTTTGGAAAGGAAGGCTGCAAGGGTAAATGCAGAATTTTAAGGAGACATATTAGGCAGTTAGGAGAAGATCTACTGAATGAATTTACAGGTCTCCTCCTCAGATACTACAACACTGAATTGTGATTGTAGTAACTTCTGAACCCTCAAATTGGAAAAATGGCAGGAAATTCTAAATGCAAATATTATTTTTCAGTGATATTCCAAGTAATGTGGAGGCAAGGCCCAGGAGAAAAGAAGAGTGTACAGTCTAAAACCTATATACAACTTTCCGTCAATTGACTGACACAACAGGCCAGTCATTTAAGCTCAGAGTCTCAGTGACATAATTTTTAAGATGAGAAAACTGAATTTGATCTCCTCTACTTTCCCTTAATTATCTAAAATTCTATATCCCTGTAAGCCTCTTCTTTTTTTTTCCCCCTCTCATAAAAATGCCCTTACTACTTTCCAGGTAATAGCCACAATAAACTGCTGGGGAGAAGGTACCACCAATCCACAAGGATGCCTCCAAAGTTTACCAAACATGTGCTTACAACTTTACTGTTTATGACTAAGAAGCCAACAATGTCCCAATGCACAAGATCTACTAACCATGGGAGAGTATGGACAGTCTGATTTTTATCAAGGCAGCAGATTACTCACCATCTGGCTTAAATGGAATTTTATTCTTATAAAAACGAAGATTGCTCAAGTCATTTTGGTATCGAATATCTTTGAAATTCTGCTGGAGGAAACAAGAAATCAATCTCCAGAATATGGAAACACAGAAAGGTAACAGAAACTTCTCTTGTGTATTTCCTCATTGATACCATAACATTTGAAAAACAGTAGGGAAATATTTTACATTTTAGAAAAAAAAATCCATATTCATACCGGGTATTGATGTCGGTATTTGTACAAATCCCTTGCAGCATAGAAACTTCTCTTTGGCTTGACAGTGGCTTCAGTAGAATCACTACCCTGAAATAAGATATGAAATTCTGTTTACATGTCAAAGCAGGAAAAATTTATTGAGGAATTTCCACAACAAACATAAAATAATGATAACCCATAAAGAAAATTGACATTTTCTCAACTTGTCCAGAGCCAACAATGGGAAGCAATGGGTTCCTGCCATATGTAATGCTGGCACTCTATATTGGAGCATTTTTTAGTGTATTGGTTGTTCCAGTTCCAATCTAGCTCCTTGCTAATGTTCCTGCAAAAGCAGCAAAGGATGCTTCTTGGGCCCCTGCCACTCACTTAGGAGACCTAGATGTAGTTCTGGGGCTTCTGGTTTCAGCTGTTTGGGCAAGAACCAGTAGATGGAAGATCTAGCACCCTTCCTAAACTTTAAATAAGTAAATAACTAAAAATTCTCAACCTGCCATATTAATAAAATATTATTTTTTAAATAATGATCATTAGCAAAATTTGTTGGCACCCTGCTTTCTTAATTCGAACCAAAAAATATCCAAAACTATATTACTAAACAAAAACTTTACTATTCACCAAAGGTCCATGGAATTCAAGTTTTAGAGATCATTATTTATCAGAAACAGAAGTTAAAGAAATTCAAAACATGTTTTACCAGATGTGATTCAAGTGAACCTATAACAAAATTTACTCTAAAATACATAATAGCAAAAATCCTACAAAGAAACTGTCATTTAAGTTGCAACATTCAGCTATATTTGAAAGCAAAATAATATTTATGAAAGGATCTTAAAACAAATTAAATAGCCTTCTAAATGACAGCATTCATTAAACAGAGGGCAGCAAACACGTACACAGAAGGCATACAAAAAAGCTCTGAAGTGGAATGAATATCAGATTGAAATAACTCACATGTGGTAACTTATTCATATTATTTAAATTCTAAGTGAAATTCTTACCTATACGAAGTCATTTTTAAAGTGTCAAATGCAGGTCAATAGAATCGACTTGCATTCTGTAACTATATGCACTATTATAAAGTATGAGAAAGTGCTTTTGTGTTCAGTGTCATGTGGAAGGACACCGAGACAGATAACGATGATTTAAAAAGCTACAAAATTTAGAACTGAAGATTCATTAAAAGCTTTGTCCCCCAAAACAATATTCACCATCCTGTTCCCCTCACTGGCACTGACAGACTGGCACCCTCTAAGCAATTTTCTCACATCTTTCAAGTGGTGTGATTCTCATTATTACTACAAACACAGAGCTTCTTTAGCACCTCTGATGTTTAACATTAGTTACTCTGTCATGTTACATAAGCAAAATAAAGCATAAATTCTGGCCCTTGCCATCGTTATCAAAATAGCTCTGCCTAGCAAGTTTCTGAATCTATTTAGCCTGAGCTCCAACCACATGAATCGTCAGCTTACATTTGTATAGAAAGCACTTTCCAATTACAAAGCATTTACATGCAAAGTATTTCATTTGGTTCTCACAACACACCTGGCTTACAAGTATTAGTGTTTCTATCTTCAACGCAAGTCAATGAGGCTTAGAGAACTTGAACCAAACCCAAAGGCCTGCAACATTACAACAATTAAAATCCTTAGGTCCAGACCACCAAGTCTAACTAACTAGATCTGAATAACTTCAACTTTAGTTTTATAAAAGTGAAGGACATACAAATATAGAAAGTCTGGTATAATTTCAACAGCCCAAGACCTGAAGTCACAAGACTGTGATAAGTCAGAATTCTGCTACTTTAACACTTGTGAAGCCTTAAGTGAATCACTCTACTGGATCTTGGTTTTATCACCTGTGAAATGAAGATAATGATTCATGTCCTACCTATCTCCCAGGATTATTAACAGAAAGAGTGCATCCTCCAAACTCTAAGTGTGCCAGTATCTTCCCATACTCTTTATTCCTTTTCGTTTCTCCATCTTAATTCATTTCACATACTCAGGGAAAAGACTATATTCTTTAACATACTGTTTTTCTTCCCCGGGTTCTCAAAATTTCCTTCCCTTTTAGATGAGTCTCCTCAGCAAGCAAACACTTATTTATAATCTTAAAATAAGCATGCAAAACCTTTCTTGATTCATAGCTACCTTGATTCATAGACACACCTGTACTTTGCCCCCCTTTCACATTATATCACCACCAACAAAATGCACATATCCCTTATGTCCTAATGGCTTCTCCCATTATGCCATGATTCATTCCTCTCAAGCTTTGGTCCTCAGAATTCCATTACAATGGTTCTTTGTGAACACTGAGAAACCTTCCATCCTGATGAACAATTTCTCAATGCTCATATCAGGTAAGCTCCCAGCAGCACGGGCCAGCAAATGCTTTTCTTCTTCTTGAAAGGTTGTTAGCACTTGACTTTGAGGAAACCATACTCAACCAGGTTACCTTCTATGTCATCTTTCTCTGTTATAAGTGTCCTTTTTTGACTTCTCTCCCCCCCTCCTTTCCACACCCTGGGCCTGGCTTGATCATAATTGATGAGCACTCCTTGATGTCCACCTATCTTTCCATGGCAAATCTCTCTGAAGCAGAAGCCAACAACACCGCCAGGTCTGGACCAAACCTCTATTCACAGATATAAACAACTACTCAACAACTCTTCTTGGATGTATAAAGGACTAACTAACTCAAGAGAACCTTCCATTTAACCATTAAATGTTTTCTCCTGAGAATTCCCCCCTTCATTTGCCCAGGGTTCACTGCAACAAAGATGGCAGCAAGGGAAGCAGTGAGTAGTCAGCCTAGAACACACTTTAGAAGGAAACCTTGGTGTACTTGCACATGTCAACTAGAGGAAGGCTGGGCAAAATGAAGTTGAGGGTCTAAAAGCAAAATCAAAAGCACATTTCTTTAGGAGAAATGGTGATAGCAGGTAATGATAACTAGAAAACTTAATCATTAAATGCGAAAGATTAATCATTACAAGGGAGCCGGGAGGGTTAGTGTGGTCAGTTGCTCATTAAAGATTGCAATTAAATTGACTGAAACATTGATTATTACACTGTAGCATACGAGGGCACTCAAAACCTTCATGGAAAGTGAAATTTAAAGCTAAGCTTATTTTTGTGTAAAAGTCTTCCATCTCATGCATAGTTTGTTCAAACTGTAAGTTTCCCACAACTTTTTTGAAGACTCCCTCACACTAGTTAAGCAGCAAACCGGAGTCCGATGGGCAGAGGGGGGACACTCAGGATTCCAATGGGTCCAAGGCTGATGACACACATATTTGGGTCTGCATCATTCTCTTCCTGTATGATCTTGGATAAGTTTCTATCGTAAACCTCAGCTGAAGCCCACCCCTGCTCCCCCTCCAACCAAAATGAAAATTTAGAACGGTAGCCCCCTCCCTAAAATGACGGCTCATTTCAATCCCATGTTTAATCTAAAAACTGCACTGAGTGTAGAATTCCTCTCTCCCGAAGCAGAAATGATCACCATAATGCATGAGGAAGAGTTGGCTCTAACGTTTAGGTGGTGACGCTGTCAACCCCAGGTGGCCAGAGGTTCCACTCTCAAGCCCCTCAGCTGGTGAAGGGGAGGACCAAAACAGTGCCACAAGCCTCCACTTCTTCCAGGTGAGCGCTACACTTCTTCCTTTGAGAGCCTGATCACAGCGGCATTCCGCTCTTTTTCTAACCTCACCTGCAAACCATATTAAAAATGATTCGAGCACAGCAGGATCAACAAGTCTTCCGGTGGCAAGATTTCTGAAGTGCCCTCAACTTGAGGAAAGGCCTTTTGGAGGTAAGCACTGGGGCTTTTTAACTTGGCTTGGGCGTCTCTTACAAGACTTCCAATAGCTGTAGACCCCTCTCGGAGGAGCCAGTACTGACCGCTTGACAAGTGTAGTCTTAGCATTAACACGCACTAGACGGTTTTTCCCAACGCTCTATTTTTAGACAGGTTCCTCCCACCCCACCTTCGCTTCCCCCAGCCGCGCTGCAGAGAACACACGTCCAACTTGGGTTCCGCCTCGGGGACTTCCCGTGGTGCCCAGGGCCAGGCCCCAGGCGGCCGGGAAGCTCCGGGCCACCGCAGGCCCTCGGTCGGCCCGGTGGCGAGGCAGCTGAGGGCGCGGAGGGGTCGTGTCTCGGGGGACGAGCATCCGCGTGGCGCGCCTGCCCTCCGCTCGCGGCGGCGTCCCAGGGCTTGCTCTTCGCCGGGAGGGAGAAGGGGGCAGGGGTGCCCCAGGCCGCCCCGAGGCCACCGCGGGGCCGCGTACCTGCTCGGCTCCCGCCGCCTCTGCGTCTTCGTCAGGCGCGGGGCTGGCGCGGGACCTCCCGTCCGCTCGCTCCGGGGACTGCGCGGGCTCCTCGGGCTCCTGCCCCGGGCCCTCGCCGCCGCCCGACCCCGTCTCCTCAGGCTCGGGTTCTGAGTCCGTCTGCCAGGTGGAATCGCAGTCCTCCACGGTGGTGGGCTCGCGGAAGCTGACCCCGCCGAGCAGGTTGCCCATTGAAGAGGCGGCGGCGGGCGAGGGGCTGAGGGCTGGGGGGGCGGCGGGCCGCTAGGCTCGGGGCTCGGGCTGCGGCAGGCGCGCTAGGGCCCGGGCATGGCCGGGCGAGGGCGCTGGGCGGCTGCCTCGGCGCGCCCGCCGCAGCACTGCCTCAGCGCGGCGAGCGGCAGACGGGCACACTGGCGGGGAGGAGCTGGCGGCCCCGGCACCGCCACCGCACACGCTCGAGCCCGCCCATCTGGTTCCTTCTCCTCCCCTCCGGCGGGAGCCGGCGCCGCCCGCAGCCCAGGCTTGCGGACTGTCTCTCCCGGGCCCCCCAGGCTGGACCCCCGCTCCCACTTTGGCCCCTGCAAGGCCTGCCTTAGGTTGTCTCGCGGAGTGGTGGTGGTGCTGCGTGTGTGGGGGGGTGTTGCGAGGTGGCTTGAGGGATGCGCCTTTCCCTGCCCCCGAGCTGGACCAGAGCTGCCATCAGGGGGCTCCTCCTGGCAGAGCAGTGAGAGTGATCCCAACCAACCAGGACAGGCGTGGACTTGAGGTGGAGGGAGGCATTCCTGTCAGCCCCCTCTCTCTCTCCCTAGGCTGATTCAGGAAAATAGATGAATTCGCTGCAGGAGCAGCAGCAGACAAAAACTACCCAACAAACAGGAAATCCATGCTACCAGGACTGTACTGAGGGCTGCCACCTAGGGTCCCTGTGGTCCTGAGAAATCAAAGCTGTCACCTCATCTAAAGAGCAAATATCTCTTGAAACAAAAGGGACAGTAACTAGACCACCATATTGATTTGTGGAGAATTTTACTAACTCCCACTCCACAACCCTGCTCTGAGAGGAAAATAAAAGTCTCAGACTCCTTAAAACAGATGGGCTGTTTGCAAAGGATGAATCTTTGGTCCCTTGGTCATAGATGACAGGGGAGCCACGTTGTGTAACTACTTAGAGGTAAAGTAGAAGGATCAAATGAGTGACCCAGAGAACAGTGACTATAGAAAGCTTGCATTCTGATGTTCTAACTTTTGTGTGTAAAAGAACTTCTTGTATGTATGTCTGGAACTATGCTTCTCATTTGATAGGAACTCTGTAAACAGGTGGAGAAAATCACTTAGGTATATGCTATAATTTACTCTCATGTAGAACTGGAAACAATCCAATAATAATGTCTAGAAGGTGGACTGCCTGGGAGAGCACTAGGTGACTGGTGCTGTGTGCCCCAAAGGCAGTTCTGAAGGGCTGGCTAAGAAGGGAGTCGGGCCTAGCCACTCTCTGCCCCCTGCTTATAATGTGAGTCTTTCTGCTGTGAACACCACTTTTTTTTCCCAAGATGCAAAGCACTGACGGGAAACACCTACTGGGAGCCATCTGAGAAGTACCCTGTAGAGGCCTATGAATCTTGTTGGCCACTTCAGGTTGACCTGAGTAATGTGCGTGCTAGGATCTGTCTTCTTCATACTCATCTGGATCAACCTTTTGTCATCCTTTATTTCTTCTGTGTGCTTTTCTGCCTCTAATCCCAGTCCTTCTTAAAGCTAACCAGGGGCCTTTTAGTTGATGCACCCTGTCTCTAAACATGTTTACCATTCATGCTGTGTGAAAACACTCATCTCCAACCCGTGAGAAATTCACTCCAACTTATCTAAAACCCACTCTATTGGATCAAACCAAAATATGGCCACATATAATGATAGAGGAAAATTAATCATGGAACTGTGACTTCTGATGAAAATCTGCCACTCTGAAACACAAATACTCTTTAATTGTCACTTGGCTGGGTCTCCTAGGCCTGTGTCTCATGATCTGCCCCAAGAAAGCCTAATATGAATCTCTAGCCCAGCTTGATTATTTCCATCAACTTTCCTCCCTCACTTTGCAATCACCATCTACTGGCCTCCTCAGACAACAGGGACTGCTTGATCTTGGATTGGAAACTTAAAAAGTCATCACCAAATAAAACTCCTTACGTAACAGATAGCTTGATGTAGGTAGCTTGTTGCAGTAAGGGAAAGCAGATACAATATGCAGCATTCAACTGTTGTGACTGGAATCACTAATTTAGTTTTAATTGCTTCCTTATGAAATATATTGAAGCAAGGTTAATAGGCTATCTATACAAAGAAGAACTGGTGAACAAGATACCCATTCTCCAAGTCAGTTGGGTTGCAACAGGAAAGTAGGCTGGGCTCTGTCACTAGTTTCTCACCTTTAACAGGTCACATCACTTTTGAGACTAAATTTCCTCATTTGTAAAATGAGACCAGATTTTATTTAGCTTTGACTTTCTGTGGTCTCATGACTGGGAAAAAGCTCTAAAACAAGCAACAAACTCAAGCCACTCAAAAAGGCATTTTGGTCACAATAATTTAGTGAAGAAAATATGGGGCAATAGCAGGACACATAAATCCCACTGCTCAAAGCTGGAGATTTGATTCATCTTGCAATAGCAGAGGACCAAACGCAGTGCAGAAGTTAAATGCTGTCTGTGCATCTGGCTTAAAGCATTACAGGATTCCTAATGCAGAAACTTTTTGAGACAGTTGCTGTACCCCAGGTGCACCAGCAGTTGCTCTAGGGGTAAGGAGATTAGAACTGACCATGTATCATTTATTTTCCTCCCATGAGGAGATGGAATCAAGGGTGGCCTCAGTGATTTGATTAAAATTAGAATGTGAAAGATATTGCATTCTAGGATTAACCCAGAAAGAACCTTGACTTTTCTGTTGGAGTCACTTGGAAGACTTACTCCTGAGCTACCATGTGAGAAATTCAACTAGCTCAAAACTGCCATACTGACGAGGGCACTGGGATGGCCTCTAGTCACTCATCCCAGCAGTCTTCTAGCACTTCCTGCTTGATTCTACTGATTTTTATTGATTTCTGCAGACCACTCCACCCACTAGCTAAATATCTTCCAGTGACCTCCATTAACCCTACATGAAATAAAGGAACTACCTCCTGGAGCCTGCTCAAATTCTTGACCCACAAAGTAATGAAATATAATAAAATGGTTTTTACTACAGTTCACTAAATTTTGTAGCCGTTTGTTAGACATCAATAGGTAATGTAACAAAAGTGTCTGTGAAGCCTGTAGGTATTTGAGCTATAATTAAATATTTTTTTCTATCCCTTTTGGCAAATATGCAATTTTTTAACAGAAATGTAGATGATGAGCTGATTTGTACAATGCATTTCCTAAAAACAATTTTACATGATATATTACAACAATCTTATTTGACACATTTTAGAGGGCAGATTTAGGGCAAAAAAATTGTGTGCATTGTATCCAATCTGTGTGTTTAGCAAAGTTAATCCTGAAATCCTCTCCTCTCTAGGGTCTGAAAATCATCCTTCTTTGACAGAATTCCTGCATCAACAGTGAAGAAACGTGTTTTTATTTATATTAAGAAATGATCATTTAACCCAGCATTAGGCATATATTACCAATACATATGAGCTCTAGTGATTGTTCATACAATGTGTCTTTAAAGAACATTGAACTGAATAATAAATACAGATGAGGAGAAACTATCACGATGGAATCAACCCTGTGTATATGCAAACTCGATACTAGTGCCCCAATGTAACTGTGTCCAGCTTAGTTATGAAACCCTTTAAGGGTGAGGCCATCTTTAGTAGAGACTGGTATCTGGCATATCTTGAATTTTTTAACAGTGTTTGGGCAACATTAACAAAGACGACTCATTTTTAGGTAATTTCCTTTGAGAGCCTTTCAAATAAAAATAAGGTGTAGATCAAGAGCCCTTTTACTCATTTCATCCTCAGGAATTAACTCCTCTGTCACTTGCAGGAAACTAAACTGTGGAGAAAAAATATATTGCAAAACATTTAGAAATAAGAAAGACAAGAGCTTAAAGACCTATCTGCAATTAGGAACAATTTCTAGCTAAACTGGCCTCTGCTAGCTCCCATGGGAACATTATGGCTTTGAAAACAGGATGGGCATTCCTGCAGGAGTCTCCTGTCTTGTCACCTTGACACCTTCATACAGGAGGAAGTTCACATGTCTCCTCTGATCAGGCCAGCCTGGATGGATAGTTGCCAATGTGTCCCTTTCCTAAGATGTTTGTAAATGTATTTTAGTGTACAAGAACCGAAGGTTCTGGTTTCTTTTGTTTGTTTGTTTTGTTTTCTGCTCCTTCCTTTCTGCAAATGTTCCACACTTTTCTTGTAGGATTTTATAGTATGAATACTGCTCCCCAAGCCTACTGTTCTTACATCCCTTGTAAATGCCAAAATAATACTTCTTATAAAAGTCTGCTTTCTGCCCTCTGTAATCTCATTTTTTTTCCTACATTTTCCTTTGACTTCACAAGCTTTTATTTTCAATGTGATTTGGCTATTATTTCTTTTTAAAAATTCTCTTTGTTTCCAAGAAGTGACCACCAATTACAGTAATTTCTATATACTGAACCAACTTCTCAAGATTGCTTTAAATGAGATTCAGAAATAATATACATAAATCTAGTTCCAAATAAAGTAAACTTAAAGCAAAGAAATTTGTGTTTTTATTATTGATGCAAGATGTCAAATATTTTATTTTCAAATTTTGTGTAACAAATTAATTAAATTCTCTCTCTGATATCCAAACTGCTGCTAAGATTCTGTTGTACCCCCCCCAGGGTTATAAAAAAAATTCACATCTAATGAAAAGTTACAGGGTGTCAATACTCTATAGTTTTGTGTTTGTGCATTTGGTGTGGTTTTTGTCACTCAGTTAGCTTCACCAGCATTCGTTCCTGGTAGGAAAACATTGCACTTTAGGCAGAGCTCCCTGACCCAGAAGGCTTAGAGTATTTTAGGGAAAAAAGGAATTTAGAAAACACAAAAATAAGAGCCATATTTTAGGTAATACCTTCACGTGGCAGGCTTGGTGTGGTGGTCTGGGCCTCCACCTGTAACACTGGCATCCCCTGAGTGCCAGTTTGAATTCTGGCTGCATCACTTCAGATCCAACTCCCCGGTTAGGGCGTGGGGAAACAGTGGAGGATGGCTCAAGTCCTTGGGCTCCTGTACTCATGTGGAGACCCAGTGATAGCTCC